TCACCGGTCCATCTTATAGACCTAAATCTCTAAAATTTCTTTCTGTAGACTAGGCTAGAAAATAACAATAGCTAGAAGAGTTTTAGAAATAGATGTAGGATTGTTTGTATTAGCAATATATAAAAATACCTCCACGTTGAGAGTAACCGTTACCAGTGTCACACAGGCAGTAGAAGGACCCGGCGATGTTTACGCAACGCTTGAGGGAACCATGACAGTTATGAGCACCAGTAGAACACTCATTCACATCTAGATCACAAGAGATCAAGAAAAAGAAGAGACTTATTCGAAAATGAAACTGAGATGGTTGATGGAGTGCACAATTGAAAGAAAATAAAAAGATATGAATAACTACTTTTYATTTACCTGCACAAACACGACCATTCCAATAATTTCCAGAACTACACTGACAGGTGACAGAACCAAGGGAGTTTGAACAAAGAGTATTTACTAGATCAAGAGATCACGMTGAACTATATTAATATACAAAGAAAAACTTTATTGGTAGAAAAAAAGGAGGCGCTATTTTGAACGATGAAAGGTGAATAAATACAATTTTTCTCATTTTTCTTTGTGCTGTTGCTGTTTACCTCCCTACCACGACCATGATTCTTAGGTTCACTACTAAGATTTTAGAGGATTAAAATCTTTAATGCAGTCCAAAATCTTCCTCAAGACATTGTTTTTATTTTATTGCAAAAACCTAGCGCGCGTGGGCTCTACACTACTTTTTACGCTCAGTCGATGTTGTGTCTTGAGCATGCGTAGCCCTTTGCAATTGAGACGCACATATTAGTATTCTCCAAAGGAAGTATACTAAGGTATACTCCTTTTGCACGCATATTTAACTAATTCGTTAGCCCCAAATCTTCCTTGGGAGATTTCAAAACCGCTTCCGGATGTAAGTCACTTGGGAATTGGACCAGGGGGTATATTCAACCGAGAAAACCAAAGAAAACCGAGCTGATGTAAAAAGAAATAATATTCTTTATTTACCTGCACACGTGTTTCCATTCCAATAATACCCAGAGGTAGT